ACGACAGAAAACTTTTGCGACGACCCCTTAGGGGTTTTAGTTGACACCACTCAGCATTCAGAAATGTATGAGAATCCTGCATGCCAAGACACAGAATGTGGTTTGAAGGCACCACACAATCTGTGCCTTCTTTGCTGCCAAATCAAAGCCCCGTTGCATTACTACCTGATTCAAGTGGCTTCCCCTAGCAAGTGGACCCTGTGCCCGAGGGAATACCGCCATACTTGGATGGGGCATGAAAAAGCTCTTGGTGCACTACACGAGTCGTGCTTTCTGACCGCTGCGATGGGCTGCGCACACTACATGATTGATCCTAGCAAGGCCAAATGGCTGGAAGTTGATCCACTTGTCTGTAGCTAATACAAGCATCTGCTTTGTAGCAGTTTTTGCCGGTAAACTATGCACTCTTCAGTGATAGCACACAAACTCCTATATTCTGAAGTTTGTCATAATTTCTTCAAATGCTCTTCTTCCTCTTCTTCTAAAGTATTGGTAGTGTCTGTGCTTTTAAACCTGATGCTCTTGTTACTAAGTAACAGCAGTTTGCCTAAATGGGGGTACTTGAAATCGACATGATTGTATTACAGTCGTCCCTCTCTAATCCGGCACTTGTTTATCCGGAACCCTTGCCAACCGGTGCACTTTGTGACGAAACCGATTTTTTTTCGTTCAATTCCTACATCTTAATCCGGCACTTGAATTCCGCCTCCGGCAGTGACTTTTTGAAACGAATCGCTCAAACTGCACGTAGTTTGATTTCATAATCCGGCAGTCGTAAATCGCGTACCGTACAGGTGCACTCCTTGCCAGGCCAGGCTAGGCCAGTCTGGTCAATGTTGTCCAGGAGACAACGGCAGTCAACCATACTTTCTTATTTTAGCAAGGAGTAGTGTCCTGCCAATTTTCAGGTGTGTGTGTGTGTGCGTGTGTGTGCAAGAGTACATGTGAACATGTTCTCTGTTTTACTTTATCACTGTGTACATTCCCGGAGAACAATTGAGAATATAAAGCCGTGCACCAAATACTTAGGTCGACACGGAAAAACCCTGCGTTTTGACGTATGATACATGCATGCAATTGGGTAGGGCCGGGTCAGAGGGCAGGATTTCTTAATCCAGCACCCTCGTTAATCCAGCAGAAAACGCCGTAGCAAAAGGTGCCGGATTAGAGAGGGACGACTGTATTTTGTAAAAGATTCCCAAGGTCGTAGCCTCAGCTGAGGTTATGACTGTCAGCCAGTGATGAGATCATTGTGTTTGGAATATATTTCCTTCTTGCATAGGTCAGTATATGCTTGCCTGCACTGAAGACACTGCGGCATGCTGTTGACAGATTGAAGAATCTCAGTAACTACCTGGTAAGGAGACAGCGTTTACATCATGTCTTCTTTTTAATTATTGTCTACAGTCGTCAACTCGTCAAAGAAGTATATTCAGACAGTAGGTGTGTAGTGTCTATAATCTTTATCTCATTTTCTTATCTGTGTAGCGTGTGAATCTTTTCATCTTGGGGGTTGTGGCGGTAGGGGGCTATGGGCAGGCTGAGTCACTTGTGTTTCGTATAAAATATCCATATTGCTGCCTGCTTGGAATACTATTTAGATGAATTATGGTGTGATGTGTTTTTTTAAATTTCATTCAGATACTCTCTGCAAATAACGTGGGCAATTTCTCGCTCGAGGTGGAAACAGATGATGTATCAGTTCGAACTCAGTTCAAGGATCTCGATAACCCAGGTGAGCCGAATACTATATTGTTGACCTATAGGAATGAACCACATGAGTGTATGTATTATCCTAGAGTGAGTTCTCAATAAATTTATGCTAGTCACTTCTAACTGCAGTATCTTGATTTTTTTGGAATGCGAAAAGTGCCCTTTTTATTGCAAGTATAGTGGTTACCATTGCAATGAAAAGAATCTTCCTCGCAATTTGGTGTGCAGCTCCAAACTGAGCATAATGATGGTATCGTGATTGTATTGTGACATCATCAAACTAAATATTATTTTCTCTTTCCCGTGCAGTGGTGGAAAACTGCCCCGTCAGCGAACAGACAGGTGATCCTGAACACATGGTTTCAGCTCGGGTTGACATTCGCAAGTTTGGACAGTTCCTTCAGGCGCAGCAAATCAACCCAACGCGAATCGTGTGCAGTAAGTTTCAATCTATGTGCTTTGAAATGACATCTTGTATGTATGTCCGGCAGATGTACTGCTCACTCTCTGCTGAGGACAGGTCCCCATTTGTTTTCATGGGGCAGGCATGCACCGAGTACTTTTAGCTAAATTATTTGCAGTGTTCCACTACACACGGCAGTTGTCATCCCAAAGTGACGCAGCAAAAGAGGTCTATCCTTGTCTACTTTGCTGGTTGGGGTTTATACCGCACACGAGAAAACTGTGTTCTGACTCTGCTTTTTTGGTGCCAGTATTATTACCCGGGTCTGTGTGTATTTTAATGTGTGTGTGTGTGTGTGTGTTTGTGTGTGATTGTAGATATTCTAGAGAACCGTGCCGTGCATTGTTTTGTCCTGCACGACGACATGCACTTACAGTACTTCCTCCCAGTCGTGGTCAGGTAGCACCAGAGCTTTGCGCATCTAGCGTTGTTCAGCTTTGAGCCTCTAGCTTCTTTTGAGTTTCTCAGCACAGTAACGCACTCAATGTCAAGTCCTCTGTTGTTCTCAAACTACCCGAAGTACTTTTCGGCACAATTTGCTCAGCACCCGTGTAACATTGCCATCAAATTCTGCGATCCACACAAACCCTGCTCTATGAATCTTCCCCCTCCCCCCCGTTGACCACTTGTGAATGAAAGTGCATAGAGTTAGAACTGTCCAGTGATTTGATTCCTGGAAGACAGTTACAGCTCACTGATGGCATCCGATGTAAGAATAGGCAGGACTCTGTTGCCGCATTCTACAGCTTGCTGTGCTTTACTGCCTGCTCAACCCTAGCTGACATATTTTTTTAATTACCTGAACTCATACTCATCATAGGAAACTATGGAAACACTTCTGATTTGTTCGTTTTAGGGAAGAAATCTTGTTGTAGTCTTTGCTGCGTTCAATCTGTTGAAGTCTGCAGACCAATTGTAATTCTAGCTGCAACAAGGCGTTGACTTTCTTTTTATTCATCTTTTTATTGAGTATGACTCTACTAGAAATTGTTGATCATACATAGTGATGCTGAGTGAGCAAGATACAAAGCTTGCACTTTTCATCACAACCCTAGCATAAGTGCATAATAAAAATAACGAATATGATATCATCATATTCGTAATCTACCTGTACTCGTACTCGTATGCTGCCAGTGTTCGAATTATTTGAGAAATGAGCTGGCCTTACACTAGTTACAGTACGTCATGTACGTGCCCTTTCAGTTTGTGTCATGTCAATGCAGGGCATTTGATTCAATCCCGGACTGTGTGATAATATCACACAGTCCGGGATTGTATTATGGTGTGCATGTTGGATCGCATGCTTGTCTTGAAGCTAAGTTACTGGCAAGCATTGCTAATTGAGAAAACAGGTAGCAACCCATGGTCAAAGTGTTACAGGTCCGGTGCCTCATTTGTGCGACACTTGCTGCCTATACTAAGGTACTTCGAAGCATGTTGCAATACTCTCTCAACAAGCTTCACTGGCTGTACATGTAGGAATTAACTTAACAATGTATTTTATTTTCACATTTTAAGATGGTGTGTCGGTCGAATGGTCGAGACCTGTAACTGAGCCTGGTAACCCGTTTTCTTCGCCAGCCACTGTGCATTCCTGAATAGTATACCTCTGAACTTTGCCATGCATCATGAAATTGGGGAAAGAATACACTGAACCGTCTCTTGTCCGGATACCTCAAATACCGGCACACCTATCTTCCCTCTCTCTCTCTCTCTCTCTCTCTCTCTCTCTCTCTCTCTCTCTCTCTCTCTCTCTCTCTCTCTCTCTCTCTCTCTCTCTCTCTCTCTCTCTCTCTCTCTCTCTCTCTCCCTCCCTCCCTCCCTCCCTCCCTCCCTCCCTCCCTCCCTCCCTCTCTCTCTCTCTCTCTCTCTCTCTCTCTCTCTCTCTCTCTCTCTCTCTCTCTCTCTCTCTCTCTCTCTCTCTCTCTCTCTCTCTCTCTCTCTCTCTCTCTCTCTCTCGATATGCATAGTAGTAGCCTTAGTAGTATTTATTATTTTGACTAGGGGAGTCCCAACAGGCATGGCCTTGTTACAGGGAACCCTAGGTGAATCTTTGTGAGGTGAGCAAAAGTACCAGCAGATTGTGCCTGACGACAGTTTGGAGGAAGAGTGTTCCACCGACCTGCCGCCAGAAAAGAAACTGAGCGCAGTCCATACCCAATATGTACAGTAGGCGCATACATGTACAGTAAAACTCCCCAGACCCGGACATCCCTAATCCGGGCACGTCCGTCTACTGGGTACCTTTCTGACCCATCTACAGTCAATTCCTAGTTGCGGGCAGTACTCAGTCCCGACCTGCCCGGATCCGGGGAGATTTCCTGTACCTTTATACTTACATGTTACATGAAATTTTAGTGTGATCCGGCGGTTGATTATTGTGTGGGGTCACCATGGTCACGGGTAGGCGACAATGACCACGTCCGTGCACCATGGTGTACAGCAACATGAGCAAGAAATTTACATGAATACATTTTGCTCTTGACTGTAGTCTAGGTCTTGGAGTCATGAGATGGCCATAACCATGATGACTACATAGACGACTGGCATGGGAACTATTTTTTTCTGTGAATTCTGAGTTGAAGTCCTTTTTCATGTACATGAAGATCACGTATGACTGTGCGCGCAGTAATGCGTGACGTTCATGTACATGCACTGCCCTGCGGAATGAGCTACAAGTGGTCATGTAAGATAGGTCAAAATGTCATGTAAGTTGTCGACCACATGGCAAGACCTCGTGGCCTAATGGATAAGGCGCCAGCCTCCGGAGCTGGAGATTGTGGGTTCGAGTCCCATCGAGGTCGTTCGTGTATGGCTCGAACACCTTTTTGTTTTGCCTAACAATTACATTATTTCTCCAATTACTTGTATTCCTCTTGACGAAACGCAACTGGCGTCAGGCAGTCCTTCCTCGTCTTGGTGACCAACATCATCGTTTCATCCTCACAGAGAGTCCCTGGCTTACTGCCAAACTGGTGTGCAATGAAAGTAAAAATAGCTTCTAATCTTGGAAGACAATTTTGTTTAGACTAAATTTCGTTAGAAAAGTATTTCACAAATGGATGGAGGTGCAATTTTAGCTCGCTCCCTTGTTGACCAAGGTGTTGAGTATGTGTTTGGAGTAGTGGGCTTTCCAGTTATAGACTTTGCTGTCGCTGCTCAACATGCTGGCCTCAAGTACATTGGCATGCGTAATGAACAGGCGGTGAGGTTTCATCAAGAGTCCACAACACTTGGTTTATGCACCTTTTACACGATCACTGTGATCATCGGTACATGTATATAATGAAGGATCACAATACATTTGTGGTAGCACTGGGGCACAGGGAATAATTTACTTTCAATGTTTTGCATAGCAATTTTGCTACGCAAAATCAAACTTGAATAGCAATTCCAAAATGTTGCGTCAATTTTCTTCAACACTTGACAACTGTCCTTCTGGAGAGCTGATCAGAGTGCAAGCTCAGACCACAAGTACACTGTAACACCTTAGTTGCAAACCTAGCCTGGTGCCAGGATGCATAGCTCAGCACTTTTGAAGTTTCGTGCATCTATTTTATCCCTAAGAGACACACCCGGCATGTGCACTGTGCATCATAGGGTACAGTGAAATCAATATGCATCGCAGTTTTCTGCGACACATTTCTGAAGTTGCTTCGCACCTCAGAAGAATTGCATAGCAAACTGCGATGCGATACCGGCTAAATTATTCCCTGGGGCATGTTTTAATAGTGTTCTTTGCACGTTGAATTGAATATTCCGGGTCCCGTTCTCATGCAAAATCTACTCTTCACCAGCATTTCATGTCGATTTACCGGTATTTGAGTCCTCCGGCAGAGGCGCAGCCTGTGAGGGAACACTCTTGAATTGTGTAGATGCGTCCGGCAATTCACCAATTGTACTGGGTACGCAAGCTCCACATGCTATATAACAGCTTTGGAGCTGACCTGAAACTGGAAACAAACTCGAAACGAACTCTACATTCAATCTGTGTGCACGCCGAACACATGTCAAGGAGGTAGGGAGGGAGTCCTGGCTGTAGGTCAACACGACACATGGTCATGCAGTACATTGTACACTTGGTGCATGCGCCATGCGCTGTACTTACTTCATACTCATATCCCTGCCAAGTGACGGAACACCACACTGAAACGGCAGTGGGCTGGTGCAGGGCCATGACCGTAGTTCGCTCCAGTGGCGTATAAATAAGGGCTGGGCGCTCTCCCGGTACTTTCTGCAGCGCCGCAGATTGTCAACATACCGGTAAGCCAAATCTGGGAACATGCTGGGCATGCTACTGACTCAGGGGGGGGGGGGGGGGGGTCCCTCACATTAATTTTGTTGTCGGGTCAGAACGAGTTAAAAAACTTTAAAATGAAGTTTCATATCTTTGTTCTCACAATAGCCAGTGGCCAATAAGAGATAATAGTGTGAGAGAGGAGAAAGAGTGAGGAAGGGTTGGGCGGGCGGGGATTAATGACTACTTAAGTGTACGGGCAGGGGTGGTCGCTACACGAGCATACAGAGTTGTGGAACAGCAAGGATATCTGGGTTGTTGGTGCAGTTGATGTGTGCGTGCACGTGTGTGTGTGTGTGTACATGTGTAGCTTCTTCTCTTCTTTAAAAAAGAAAATGTAAATCACTGCTGGTCTACTACAATGATCTGGTGCTCGTGTATCGTGAAAAGTTAGTTGACAACGATGTGCAAACTGGAGAAACGCACTGTCTTCATTACCGTAAAGTACCGTTGATCCGCCCCCACGCCATGTCGCTTCCCAGCTGGGTTTTCGGCAGGGGGCGGGAATTAGATCAAGGCTGTCAAGTGCAGTACGATGTACAACAACGTAGAAGTTCAGACTCGATGTGCTGGGTTGTGCACATTTTCATCCTGGATTGGCAAATTTTGTGTACAGCAGTGCATGCGTCGGTTCAACATCGTATTTTCGTTGTATACGCCGAAGTCGCTTCACAGGTAGAAAATCGACAGGGGGCGGGAATTAGAGAGGGGGGCGGATCAACGGTACTTTACGGTACTTGTATGCTTGCTGAAATCATGTGTTTTCCACTTTTCATGTGTCGTATCTACTGCTGTCCAGGCGAGTTATGCTGCATCTGCAATGGGTTACTTGACCGGCAGGTAAATCCATGATCATATTGTTGCTTGGGATGAGGAGGCTGGCCCCTCAGATCAGATTTTGTCACATCGACAGTCCACTCGTTACGAAATGAAAGCTAGATTTTTTCATGAAAACATGTGGAATGTTGAATATTATCCCACGAGTACATTCAATACCTTCTCAACAATATTGTAGTGGGGAACACTGAACAGTACAAGTTGGCCTTTCCATAAATACAGTGTTCCTAAATGCCAGTATCAGTGCCGTAACCCTTCACTGTTGAAAAGTTTATTGTGTGTAGTGGTTACCGAGGGTAGCAGCTAGTCAGCTGAAGAGTGCATGGAGGAAAGGAGGAGAGGAACACTGCCTTCTCATCAGTTGGAACACAGGCGAAACGACTTTGGATAGGCACAATGAGTTTGATACAGCAGGGAGGTGATAGAAACAGCGCAAGGAAGAGTAGTCAGAAGCGACAACGGTAACATGTGTGACCTCGCCTCCTTCATGTTATTTATTAAAAGAAGTGGCGTTTACCTTTTATCTTCTGTTTTGCAGACCCGCAGTATGTCTGGTTGTATCCGGCCCAGGATTAGTGCATGCTCTTGCTGGCATGGCCAACGCAGCTGTCAACTGCTGGTAAGTACCGTACTCTGCATGTACATACAATTCAGGTGACTGTGTCCACTCCCTCCATGTACGCTTTTGCTTGTTGACATTGGAACTACTCTCACAGCTGTGCAGGTGTGCGTGTGTTCCGTGCATCCTCAGTAATTGCAATTTCGTTGTGACACGGGTGTGTTGCCGTAGGGCCAGCATGTCGAGTACACACGTGTTTTGCAATCATTCTTTGTTATTTCATTCGAGTAGTGATTGCTTTTGATTAGATTCGAGTTGGTGGACTTAACGGTATTCTTGCCCGTGGGATGTTCTCACCTGACGGTTTTCTCTTATTTTGTTTCAGGCCACTTATCGTTGTTGGTGGTGCGGGAGAGTCTGCTCAGGAAGAAATGGGAGCGTTCCAGGAGTTTCCCCAGGTCTGTCTATGTGTGGATGCGTGCATTTGCTGTGCATAGTAGAGGCTGATGTCGGCGCAAGAGTTATACGATTGACTATTGTTTTACTTTGAGAACATCGAAAATCGAAAAAGCACGGAAAAAAGAGGGTGATGTGTATGCGAATGAGCTATTTTCTATGCCATGTTTTCGTCTTCTTTGACATCTCAATTTTTCTGTGTGCTGACTTTCATTAATTGTTCATCTTTGTGATTTCAGGTCCATGCCAGTCGACCTTATTGCAAATTGGCCGCGCGTCCATCCAGCCTACAAGCAATCCCCTTGTATGTTGAAAAGGTGAGTGAAGTACTGTGTCACGGCCTCGTGGCCTAATGGATAAGGCGCCAGCCTCCGGAGCTGGAGATTGTGGGTTCGAGTCCCATCGAGGTCGATTTCTTTTTGCAGTTTTTTTGTCTGTGTAAAATATTGTGTGTCATTGGCGCAACCGAGACATTATTATTGGGGGAAAGTGTAATTTGTCGTTCATGCCCTTTTTTTTGAATGTGTTGCGGTAAAACGTGGTTCTGTGAATGGTCGTTCTGTAAATGGTCGTTCGGTAAATTGTCGGTCTGTGAACGATCATTCTGTGGACGCTTGTTTGGTGAGCAGTCGGCATTCCACATATTTCCTTTTTTTGATTGGCAGAAAATTCTCCACCATTGCGTATCACAGTGTTACATTCAGCATGCATGATTAAGTATCACCGAGGTCGCACCTACCTCTTCTATACATGAATTAAAGCTCTGGTTTATTTTCTCCCATGACCAGGCAGTCCGCACGTGCACGTTTGGCCGTCCCGGTGTCTCCTACCTGGATTTCCCTGCCGACATGCTATCGGGAACCTGCCCAGAAGATGGCATACGGTACGCAATGCTGACCTGACAGCACCTGCATGTTCATGTACATGCAGCTAGATGTTAGTCGCACTGTTCCCACGCGTTTTCTTTGTTGGATGTTTTCATTTCCAGCCATATTTACTGTGTGTGTGTGTGTGCTTCACACGTTATACGTTAGCTGTATTGTACCTGATTTAGGTGAGCTTACATTTGTGTTAAACCTTGGACTCACTCAGTACAATCTCAGTACAGTGCATGTGCCGGTTGATGGCTTCAGCATTTGAATGCCACACGCATGATTGTATTTATAGTGTCCGGTGCTTCCCAGAGTAACTGGGCCCGTGATTTCTGTTGCACTGTCCTATGAGAGTAAATGCTGCCACTGTGTGGCTGTATGCTGATTTCAGCTCATCAGTGTGCTGCGCTTTTTGTTGTTCATCGAACCGCGTAGGTGGTCTCTCCGATGCCCTGCGCCGCCAGTATGCCAAGCTGACAGCGCCGATGTGGCCACGGCCATCAGGACACTGCGCCAGGCTAAGAAGCCGCTCATTATTGTGGGCAAAGGTGCGTTGCCGTTGTGCAGCATTGCACCTGATCTTGTGTTGTGCTTGCAACCTTCATTGCAGGGCACTGTATCATATCAGAGGGTGTGTGATATTTTCCCGCTCTGCTGCATTCCCCGTAACCTTGTAGCTCATTGTGGTTCAGTACTGTAGCCGGTTGTAGTGAATGATGTGCACTCCTGTCCTGTGCAGAGCAATGATGGACCTGGGACCAGGCTTGTCTTTCATTTTTTCATATTCCCAAAATTTCCACCTTTGGGTTCTGAGTTGGAATGGAGCTTTTGTTTTTGATTTCTGCCCAATCTTGCTTGCATCGTGTGTGTATGTGTGTGTGTGTGTGTACGTGTGTGTGTGTACGTGTGTGTGCGTACGTGCGTGTGTGTGTGCGTACGTGCGTGTGCATACGTTTTTGATGACAGGCGCCGCGTATGGACGTGCTGAGGTCGCCACTCAGGGGCTGATTGATGTGACGCGAATACCATTTCTCGCAACACCGATGGGCAAGGGTGTAGTTGCTGATGACCATCCGCACTGCGTGGCCGCTGCTAGGTCCAAGTATGTACATATGCTGCTGCACTGTACTGTATGATCACTGATCACTGCTATAATGTAGAGACTGCATTTTCGTTGAATGGCATGAAAAGACACAAAAATCGACAAATGAGTAGGGGGCACTCAATCAGAGCGGGGGGGGGGGGGGGGGCTATGCCCCCCTACCCCCCCCCCCCCCCTTTGGCTAGAACCCTGGTGCTAGTGTATGGCGAACAGAATACCACATCCTCTTTGGACTCGCAACTTTCGACTCAGCACGCAGAGTATTGCATCTCAGGACAAGTACACGAGTAAAGTTTAGACTTGAAGACTACTTCCCATTTTACTTATCCTTGATGTTGTGTTCCACTTAGCTATATTACCCTGTGTTCTTCTCTATTTGTCCTCCGTCGCTCCAAGGGCATTGTCCCAAGCCGATGTTATCCTGCTGTTAGGCGCCCGCCTCAACTGGATTCTGCACTTCGGTCAGCCGCCGCGGTTTAGACAGGACGTTCAGGTTATCCAGGTGAGTGGGACGTTCAAGAAGGCCAAACAATGCACGTCTTGCGAGAATAAACGCACCTACGGTAGCGGTAATACGCACTCTGTGCTTGTCTGTAGCAAGTTTGCCTTTGATTGTGTAAAGTAGCGTTTAGTTTAGGGGTGAAACGAGTGCCAAAATTGAGGACTCGACTACTCTTTGAAAAAACGAGCGAGTATTCGAGCGAGTACGAGTATTTTACTGACAACATAAACTTTAGTTGCAGCTGGCAAGGATCTCAGCGCAAAACTGCCAGTGCAAACCGGCCACCATTGACTGTGGAATGGTGCAGCATCAAAATACTTCCCTTCTGCATATCTGACGAAAGAGTTTAACTGACTTAGGAGGAGCAACCAGTACAGCTGCAATGTAATGTGACTAGTAATATCATCCTCAAGTAGGGACAGTAGTCCCGAAGTGTTGATTCAAACAGATCTTGGAACTCAGCCTGAGTTGGAAGTGTGCCGCAAAGGATCCAGCAACCCCTCTCGGTGTTATGCTCGATGTACTGCGGTGTGTTTGAGTTTACTATGCCTTAGGTCTTGAAGCACATCAACTTTTTTCGTTTCCTTTTCTATGAAAGGTTCGATGTCTTTGTTCATTTTACCGACTGTTTTTTCTTCAGGTTGACATTTGCCCAGAGGAGTTAGGTAACAACTGCTGGTCATCTCAGTGTGTTCGTCTTCATGGAAGTATAGCAGCTGTTACCAAGCAGGTTAGTGTCCTGCTGAGTTACTCTGGTTGTGTGTGTGTGTGTGTGTGTGTGTGTGTGTGTGTCTGTGTGTGTGTGTGTCTGTCTGTCTGTGTGTGTATGTGTGTGTCTGTGTGTGTGTCTCTGTGTGTGTCTCTGTGTCTATGTGTGTGTTTGTGTGTGTGTGTGTCTGTGTGTGCATGTCTGTGTATGTGTGTGTGCGTACATCATCGGGGTCACCAATTGGGATCAATTGTAGCAGTGTGCTACGTAATTCTACAAAAAGTTTTGATTCGTGAATTTAGAACTAGCTTGGAAAGATTGAAACCGGCATTGTAACATTGCAAAATACAGAGAGAACTACAAGCATTCATGCTCTTGGAAACAATATGAAAGTGGACCAGTTGCTGCTGAATCCTCCATTCTTGATCGACGTACCTTGCAAGAATGACGAGCGCTTCTCCCAGGTGGGTGCTGCGATCAAAAATGACTGAACAAGACTTGATAGATTGCAGTTCATTCTTCATACTTCACACATACTGTGCCATGTGGCTGGACTCCATCAGGCAGAGACTGTTATTGGCTTCAAGTCAACATGTGGCTGACATGAACGCAAAATATGTATGACCTACTGTCCGATATCTACGACCTTTGCTGAAATGGGCTTGCAGTCCAGTTGGGCAGCTTGTAATGTAGATCAGGCCCAGTCGATCATGAAACACAGATACCAAAAACAGACTTGAGTCCGGCAGCTTATACTCCTGGTCAGTCGATTTTGACGCCCGATAGGGCCGAAACTGATCGTGGATTCACACCAGCACTTCAAGACAAGCACGTCGTTCATCACATGATGCCTGGACCCCCAAGCACAAGTCCGTGTTCCTTGCTATTACCAAGAGTCCGTAAACCCAAGAGTGTACAGCTCTGTACATGGGGATCCGCGTGGCGGAATTCCAACATTGCGTCAAAAATAACGTACACATTCGTTGCGCTTGTACTACTCCCTGGTTCCAAGCACCTCGGAATGAGGAATTCTGTACAGCTGTGCCTCAGCGGCATGACGTAATGTTGGAATTCCGCCGCGCAGTGGGCCTACAGCAGCCAGACCCCAGTTGCACACTCTTGGGGTTATGGACTCTTGCTATTATGTGGTTCACTTGAGAGAAGTTCGTTGAGGTGCATGCTGTCGTTGCCCTTTAGGCTGAGGCGTACCTTTGTATTTAGATTCCTTGCGAGCCGCATTACATCATTTCCTGGGAGATTCAGAATCAAGAAGCTATGCGAATTCTTGCTGGACAGGGTGGGACCACAGCTATGCGAATTCTTGCTGGATTGGGTGGGACCACAGCTATGCGCATTCTTGCTGGAAAGGGTGGGACCACAGCTATGCGCATTCTTGCTGGAAAGGGTGGGACCACAGCTATGCGCATTCTTACTGGAAAGGGTGGGACCACAGCTATGCGCATTCTTGCTGGACAGGGTGGGACCACAGCTATGCGCATTCTTGCTGGAAAGGGTGGGACCACAGCTATGCGCATTCTTGCTGGACAGGGTGGGACCACAGCTATGCGCATTCTTGCTGGAAAGGGAGGGACCACAGCTATGCGCATTCTTGCTGGAAAGGGTGGGACCACAGCTATGCGTATTCTTGCTGGAAAGGGTGGGACCACAGCTATGCGCATTCTTACTGGAAAGGGTGGGACCACAGCTATGCACATTCTTGCTGGAAAGGGTGGGACCACAGCTATGCGCATTCTTGCAGGACAGGGTGGGACCACAGCTATGCGCATTCTTGCTGGAAAGGGTGGGACCACAGCTATGCGTATTCTTGCTGGAAAGGGTGGGACCACAGCTATGCGCATTCTTGCTGGAAAGGGTGGGACCACAGCTATGCGCATTCTTGCTGGAAAGGGTGGGACCACAGCTATGCGTATTCTTGCTGGAAAGGGTGGGACCACAGCTATGCGCATTCTTGCTGGAAAGGGTGGGACCACAGCTATGGGCATTCTTGCTGGAAAGGGTGGGACCACAGCTATGCGCATTCTTGCTGGACAGGGTGGGACCACAGCTATGCGCATTCTTGCTGGAAAGGGTGGGACCACAGCTATGCGCATTCTTGCTGGAAAGGGTGGGACCACTGCTTCCCGGTCCACGACTTGTGAACGTATCCTGTTGCAGTTACATAGGAGCGTTACAGTCACGCAGGGATCATGCCCTATAATGCCGGCATTACCCGCTGACCTCTACTCCCTGCTCCCGGCGCGGGTCTCGAGTACCAGCGCTTTGGCCGAGTGGTTGTGGGCTTGCCTGCGAATCACAAGGACCCTCACTATACTAGGCGAAAAAAGGACTAAGTATCAAGAGGATTTATGCAGGACTGACATCCAAGAACGAGCGAGGAATACCCAACTGACAGTAACAACAACAAAAACTAGAAGGCTCAAACAACTCCCTAATATGAGGGTCAGAGCCAGGGCTAACCCCCATATGGTTCAAAATGGTTGCAAGACCGGGACTCTGCCAACCGTGGAGGTTGTAGTGAGGGGCTCTGTTCCCGAACACAGTGCATCCTTTGCCTTGTAACATGCTGTCAACCAAACAATGTGTGCATGCATGTGGGTATGTGTTGTTCACCTTTGTGTGCATGCATGTGGGTCTGTACATGTATTTGCATGTTCAAGGTTTGCTGATTGTGATCGTATGTCCTGTGCTGCTCTTTTGTGTGTGTGTGTGTGTGTGTGTGTGTGTGTGTGTGTGTCTGTGTCTGTGTCTGTGTGTTTGTGTCTGTGTGTGTCTGTGCATGTGCGTGCGTGCGTGCGTGCGTGTGTGTGTGTGTGTGTGTGTGTGTGTGTGTGTGTGTCTGTGTGTGTCTGTGTCTGTGCATGCATGTGTGTCACACGTGCATGACTTGTGTTCATGTGTTGACACTGAACAGCTAGTGTCTGAGGCCGGTGGTACATCCTGGCAGGTGCCAGGTCATCGCCTGTGGGCGGACGAGTTGAAATCCATTGCAAATGAAAAGGAGTCTGGAAGACAGGTTAGTTCAGGCACAAGAATGCCCGTGCAGGACTCAGTTCTATGTAAGATATCACTGGTGTTAAGCTTTGTTCCTGTAGAATAGTGCATTCACACATGCTGTCCTGGTCGCATTTACTAGTACTGCCTTGATTCAGCCTTTCCCAGGTTGTGTCTACTGCTCTGCACGATCAACATTGAACAATACAGTAGCTATTGCAGTGCATGTCGTGTGTGTTGTACACAGTATTATGTCGTGTGTGTGTGTGTGTGTGTGTGTGTGTGTGTGTGTGTGTGTGTGTGTGTGTGTGTGTGTGTGTGTGTGTGTGTGTGTGTGTGTGTGTGTGTGAGTGTGTGCGTGTGTGCGTGTGTGTACACAATTTTTTCCAGCTCACCCTAACCTTCCCAATAAGCTCTTCTGTATTCTACTATCTGCATTAGCTCAAGTGTGACTCAGGCTTTAGTTTCCGATAACAGTTACTGCTATGCCCGTTCTGGGTGATCCAAACGTTAGGCCAGCTCAAAATGGTGACAGTACTGTACATATTTGTGGCAGTGAAGCAATGGTCTTTTCCCCTTTCTTCTACCATTGTTTGGTTTGTATTACATTGTTCTGTCTTATTTTCTGCTTCTGTTGTTGTTTCCTTGTAGGCCATGGAGCGCCCCACTGCACCGCCGATGAGCTATTACCAAGTGTTTGCTGAGGTCAGTGACCCTGTGTATGCCCGCGCGTGTGTAGTGGTGGTGTGTGTGTGTGGGGGGGATATAGTCCGCAGCCCAGGACGCAAAATTATATCTTTTCGTTTGCCACGCGAAGGCACCAAGGGTGACCGAATAGAAAGCAAGAGCAGGGTTTTCTAGGCATGTGCCTCTTGATAAGTTCTGTTGGGGGTTCGTTGATTTAATCGCCGGAATTGTCTTGAAAGAACGATGACCAAGTACAGTTGCGCTCACTGAAATCCGACCCGAAGTGCAAAGCTGGCGCCCTGGACCAGTTCCGATTACATCATTGTCTGTGCACATGTGTACGCCCAGCCGCATTCGTTCCACTTCCAGAGCGTCAAGGGCCGTGGAAGTTGAGGGCGCCAGGTTTGCACGTTGGGTCGGATTTCAGTGAGCGCAACTGTACATTGTACTTCAAGTATCAACCTTAGAAGGAGTGCATTTTTATGTACTTCAAGTCAACGAAATGGTTTACAACGATGCAGCGGTTCTTAAAAAACAGAGTGTATGATTAGTGACAACAAGAGTAAATGAGCTGCCAAGAGTGTGCAACTCTGCATATGAGGTCCACGACGGCGAAAACTCACATCACATGTTTCCGGTACGTGTTTTACTACGTACAACGAAGGATAGCGTGCGCGCAACCCGAATATCTTCCATGGTTATATGGTGGGGAGTTGCATGAGCGGAGTGAGTTTCTGTTAGGGAGTGCTATTCTGTTGCTCCCCTGCTCGCTAGAACGGGCTGGAAGCGTACAATGAGAACACTGCACCACGTGATGTGAGTTTTCGCCGTCGACGAACCCCATAGAAAGGGTATCAGGAGTTGCACACTCTTCGGAGCTTACAGTCAACTTTGAGTATAACGACACTCGGCGGGGCATCAGGAAAGTGTCCTTATTCGCGAAGTGTCCTTATACCCAAAGTCTCATTATATGTATTACAGTTAGATGGGACTTTGCCGTGGGCATGGAAATTCTGTCGTTATTCGCGAATTGTCGTTATATCCGCAGTTGTTATTAGCGAAGTTGACTGTTTAATTATACTCTTGGTTCCAACGTCACTCGGTAAAACACCGGCAACAAAGTGTACATCTACCGGCCAATGGCGTTCCTACCACAAAGTAGAGAGGTTCTGCAAAACGAAAATTCAAACGAAGTTTCGCGACGGGCCTTGCGAAAATGTGTACGGATTTTTGCATGAACTTTGTGCTCTGCACATTTTCGTAGTTTGCAAGCGCCAAGTGCGCGTACGCCATAACGGTTGATAACCCGATCTCACGAAACTTCCTACGAAAGTTCATTTCACTTTCCCTGCAAGTTTCGCGTCCAAAGTTTCGAAAGTTCGTGCGAAGTCCCTCACTTCATGATGTAGAGCGAAAGTTTGTACGCATTTTCGTTTTGCAGAGCCTGTTTAATGTCAGCACCTCAACGGAAAGCAACCCGGCATCAACTTGCTTGGTTTTGAACTTTTAACGGAAAGAGTCGGTACGGTATACTACTAGACAAGCCTGTGTATGTTGTGACCCAAAGACCAGGTGTGGTCAAACAAAGGGAATGAAACTAGTTTAACTGTTCAGCAGAACATGTACTGAAGTAGCTACCGCACTGTGACAAGTTACTCGCTCCTGCATAGGTGGTGAAGAGCAAGTCCCAGTGCTACATGTTTTGGTGGCGGACCATTGGTGTCACACGGTGCATAATGTCCTGACCAAGGGACAGCACTTGCCTGGTGATGCAACTGTTGTCTGAGCCCCCGCGACCAGTCAGACAGAGCAACGAATTGTTCGGGTTGATACGGTTTACTTGGCCTCAAACGACGAATAAGGGGACAAAGGAAAGGTGCAGGGCTCAGGAGGACAACGGAAACGATAAGAGTAACAAAAGGGCAGAAAACCACGAGAGAGAGAATAAAACGGACCCAACACGAGGAGCTGCGACGACTACAGAAAACGGAAGACCAGGAAAACGGCGCAGGGCCACGAGTTCTAACCCAAACGGACCCAGGCACGAACCCAGGCACGGAGCCAGGCACGTACCCAGGCACGGACACGTAATCTTAGCAGTAACCAGGCAAAAAGCGTGCAGACAGCATGCAATCAGCGTGTGAACAGCGTGCAGCTAAACTACGTACAACATTACACCGCCCTAAGATAACTAAGTCTCTCCTGAGACTTTACAAAGCAACAAATCTTTAAGAAGGGGAGGGGTGAAAAAGAGAACGGTTGAGCAAGTGACTAATGGGCCAGGTGGGTTTACACTTAACGACGGCACCAGTGTGGCGTATCCCCTTAAACTAAAACCCTGCAAAAAAACCGTCCACACTGATGTCGTCATTAAGCGAGTTGTTCAACCTGTGTATGGCCCTTGGCTCATTATCTGAACAACACCAATACCCATGTCCTCACCGTCCCAACCGCCCCGAGGCCTAAATAATAATACAATGCGCAATCACTCGAGATCATTAGCAACATGAATATCCACCAAATAAACTACGTCAGTCGCATCCGAATCCTCCACCATGACTCCCGGGCTGGGAGAAGCCGGACAGGAAGCGACGGTTTCCACTGATTTCCGCCCTGGTACTCGCCGGCGGTGCCGAGCCCGGCGGGAGCGGCGACGTACACGCCGGAACTCCACCGCGAGAGAGTCTTGGTTTGCCGACGGTATAGGTGTTGCGGGTGCGGGAGGTGACGTTACAGCAGACGATTTGCCACATTCGCGGCCAGTAGCTACGAAGTAAATCCGAGATGGATCAGCATATTCGCGTAAATCGAACAGGAGCTGGAGAGTGGCTGGCATCGGTTCGTAATAAACACGTTGCATCGTAGACGGTAGAGAAGAGAACTGTCGAGGGTTCGAGCTGTAATTGGGCGCCAAATGTTGTCTGAGCCCCCGCGACCAGTCAGACAGAGCAACGAATTGTTTGGGTTGATACGGTTTACTTGGCCTCAAACGACGAATAAGGGGACAAAGGAAAGGTGCAGGGCTCAGGAGGACAACGGAAACGATAAGAGTAACAAAAGCAGAAAACCACGAGAGAGAGAATAAAACGGACCCAACACGAGGAGCTGCGACGACTACAGAAAACGGAAGACCAGGAAAACGGCGCAGGGCCACGAGTTATAACCCAAACGGACCCAGGCACGAACCCAGGCACGGACACGTAATCTTAGCAGTAACCAGGCAAAAAGCGTGCAGACAGCATGCAATCAGTGTGTGAACAGCGTGCAGCTAAACTACGTACAACACAACCATCGTGTGTCTTTATGCGCTGTTTGCTGACAACATCAGCTACATGTTTCGGTGGCGGACCATTGGTGTCACGCGGTGCATAATATCCTGACCAAGGGACGGCACTTGCCTGGTGATGCCTCCATCGTGTGTCTTTATGCGCTGTTTGCTGACAACATCATCGTAGTCATCTGCAAGCAGCCACAAGAGAAACTTGTGCAACAAGGCAGGTAGTGAGTCCACGGCAGTTTCCATGCTCGTCACATTCACCATTGCCAAGGGGACCACTGCAAGTGCGTGCATGTGCCGATGGGACACATGTTCACCACACAAACTTCTCAAAGTCCTTGCAGCATGGCACACTAGTCGGACATTGTCTTGCTCCACAAGCAAGGGATACTCCCGCAGCGGACACAACAGCACATCATCGAATAGTTGACTGCCTACAGCAGAGAAGAAATCGTCCTCAGATGACTCAGTCGATGAGGCAGCGAAGTCAGCAGCGCACTAGTGTGCGTCTTTTGCCTGCTTGCTCCAATCCTAGCGAAAGTTTCGCGGCATGGGTATATGAATCATAGCAAGACCTATGGTAGGGTACCTCTCTGGCGATCAGATTCCCTGAACTGATTGCTGTCAAAATCCTTTGATGTTGTCATGTGGCAGCAACTTCCGCAATTTGTTTTCTGCTTCCACTGTCACGAGTTGCAATGTCACCTGCTTGGTTATACAGCTTTGCCGATTTTTTTCAGCGTGCCACAAAACGGGCAGTTCTTGCATCCTGGCTCAACAACATTGGCTCGTAGCGATTGATGAGTGTTCCTCCTGTCAGTCGAAGACTCCTCTGATGCCATGCAGGCTGTCAGAATATTTGGCACTTGTAAAAGACACTTATATTGTGTGAAGACGCTTCAGAGTTATATTTGTTTCAGCTTCCGGCACAAAGGAGATAGCACCAGGCCAGCCAGCACTAAGCAGGAGCCCATCACTGCAGTTGTGGACACTTCTTAGGTATCACAAATTCACAATGTAAAATTGTAAATACGTGGGACCACTGAGCGCACCCGAGAGCCCTAAATATTTACATCTGAAGTGCACCATGTGGCGCTCCACGTGTGCGAGTTTCGAATTTGATATCTTTGAACTTTTGATTAGGTACGACGCGTGCTCAAACTTACGCTCTGCAAAACTTGTGCATGGATTTGCCCTGAAGAAATTCGCCGCTATCGAGAGAGCGCCCCAGATCCAGAAGCAGCTCTCGACTGTTGTGGGTACCCCAAGGGGTCATCTTTCAGGCCCCACATCGAACCTTGGTGCCCCATTGTGCATTGAAGCAAACAGGATTTTTTTAGGGCCACATTTGAGCACTTGGGCTGCGGACTAGGAAGGGGTGTAGTTGGGTGGATGGGTGATTGGGTGCGGTTGAAGGCATTCTGGATGACTTTTTCTATTCCCCGCTGAATTCTAGACAGATAACTCTGAGTTCTGAGATCTCGCTATTTATGTTTTGTGCCGTTGGGCTACATTGGTGCACATGTGTCCTGCGTACCCCTCTGTCCTATATTGTGTGTGCATGTGCGCAGGTGCGTGCTGTCATTCCCAGAGACTGTGCTATGGTGAGTGAGGGTGCTAACACTATGGATATCAGTCGATCAACTTTGCCATGCTGCCGTCCAAGGCAACGGTCAGTTCAGGCCTCCTCCACACACACATACATACACACATACATACATACATACATACATACATACATACATACATACATACACACGCATACACACACACACACACACACACATACACACATACACACACACACACACACACACACACACACACACACACACACACACACATACACACACACACACACACACATACATACACACACACACACACACACACACACAAATACACACACCCATTTCTTGCCACTTGTTCCATTCTTCGTTGTTGCTGAACATTCCACCTGCCTTGTGTTGCCTGGCCATCATACTTCCTTTTCTTTCATCCCTCACGATCTTACCAGCATAGTGATATTGTACTCTCAGAAATCCATGATGTTCTTTTGCACTGTCGCAATTGTCCATCCACCCGAAAGTATTTGAGTACTGTTCGATTGATATACATCTTGTTTGTCTTGCAAGTTCTTTTTGAGGGGAGGGAGATGCTGGAGATAGTCCTGTTTCTGCTTCAAAGTAAGAAAATGGAGAAGTGAGGACTGTTGTTTGTAATGTTGCAGAATTTGCTTGAGATCGCTCTCTCACTTGGTGGTAAGTGTAGTAACTCCCAATAGTGGTTAAAACTTAAAAGCTAAATTTTAGATGTTGCTGCTTTGTTGTCCTTGTGTTGCGTGCACATTCTTGCAGACTTGATGCAGGCACTTTTGGGACGATGGGAGTGGGTGTTGGGTTTGCAATCGCCAGTGCCCTGCACGAGACGGACGCTAAGACTGGCCGCCACGTCCTGTGCGTGCAGGGAGACAGTGCTTTCGGCTTCTCGGCCATGGAGCTGGAGGTGGCGTGTCGGTGAGTGGTCAGGAACGGTCCTGGCAGGTATCCCTGTGCCGTGTTGAGACACTCGTTTGTGCGGTTTGTGCCTTGCACACCTGTTTCAATGATTTACACCTGCCTCAGTGGATTTCTCTTCGGGGTGGGCAATTTGAAGCTATTGATCACACAACTGGTCAGTTGTGGATTGCCAGACTTGCGTTCTATATACCGTATATTCTCTATTATAAGCGCCGTGCTTCTATTTTTTCAACACCCCTCTACCCCGTGCTTATATTGGAGACCGCGCTTATATTGGAGACCGTGCTTATATTTTTTCAACCAATACATCCATACAGAGCAAGAAGAAATACATGCTAGATATCATGCGTGCAGCATTGATTTCCACCAAGACCGTGCTAATAATAGAGACTGTGCTTATAATGTTTCGAAAGGTGCTCACAGTGTGCTAGTATTAGAGACTGTGCTAGTAATGGAGACCTGTGCTTATAATAGAGAATATACGGTACATGTACTGGCGTTGAAGTAGGACTTTGCCTAAATCAAGCATGTAGGCCAGGATAAACAAGATCTTAGGGCTCTCTTGCTGAAACAGCCTGCCATCTGATACACGAAGCCAACACAACTTCTGGTCTTTTGGTACCTGCTGATAGTGTTGTTTGTTGCTATGTGGCCGTTGTGTGTGTGTGTGTGTGCTGCCGTGTTCTGATTTTCAGCTACTCGTTGCCCATAATCTTCCTGGTTGTTAACAACAATGGCATCAGTTTGGGCACAACGCAGTCCCTGTGGAAGGATATGGTGACAGATGGTGGCGTTCATCCTGCACGCAGGTCAGTATAATGTGCATGTGGGTGGTGTGAAGTCCTACGCATGCGGGTATCACTAACTGCTACATTTTAAAAGCAGAAAGGTTCCAGGCTGTCCAATAGAGTGCTCGATGCCCAAGGGCAGAGCTACTTACAACAAGAGGAAGAGGCTGAAGATTTCGTTGTAACTGTTGTCTGGTGATCCCCCGCGTGCTTGAAACTCTGAGTTATAACGAAATCTTCATCCTCTTCCTCTTGTTTTAACTGCTACATTATTCCAAAGAAAAGGGGTTTGTCAACTGACAACTGCTCCATTACATTACTCCATTCGGCCCCTTGTTGCCGAAATGCTCTGCTCACAAACACCATGCAGCATACAAATGCAAATATTTCAGTTCCGTGCCACAAGAACAGTGCATTGTATTTTCTTGTTGTCTTTTCCAGTGCGCCACCAACCTCTCTCTTACCGTCAGCACGCTACGAGAAAATTGCCGAGGCATTTGGAGCACCCGGCTACTACGTTCAGACGACCGCGGAGCTGAGGACAGCGCTGCAGCGTGCCGTGAAGCGACCACTGGCCGATGGCCCATGTCTCATACACGCTGCAATCGACCCGCTTGCTAGCCGCATTGCTCAGGTACGTGCTCCATAGGCTAGTCAGTGAGTATGAGAGAACTGCCTTAGGGCGATAGGTCTGTGCACCTGGCCTCGTGGCCTAATGGATAAGGCGCCAGCCTCCGGAGCTGGAGATTGTGGGTTCGAGTCCCATCGAGGTCGTTTCTTTTTCTTTGCCTTTCTTTTATATTTCATTGTTACCCAAGGGAGCCAATAGACATCCTTAGCAAAAGTACGATACCGCTAACTTTTACGGTACTCACTCCCGGCCGTGACAAAAGACGTTATCGGGTAACGGAAAAACGTTACAGAGCTCAAAATAACGGGCCGACGTTCGTTATGGTAATTCTGCAAAAAATGCAAAAACTCGCATTGTTTTGTAACTGGCGGGAGATAAAAAGCACGTGCAGATCGAGATGAGAGTCGAGATTGCTTCCCCTTGTGACATTTAGCTTTTTTGGCGAGTTTTGCCTTTCAGCTGACAATGTCTGCGTCCTCTGCTTCGTGCCTTTCACCCTCTATCCCATCTGGGACACAAAGGACCAGTTCCACGGCACTCCTGAGGAAGAAATTCATCGGCCTCTCCCAGACGTGCTGGAGCTGGAGAACCTTTACAGTCTTCGGTGCTGCGTTTAGGAAAGGGTTTCCAAGGATCTGGGAACAGCGAAAACTCATTTTCGCCGTGCTTTTGCTATTCCAGAGTGAAAGACCTCGCCAAGGTATTCTTTCGGAACGACAGCAAACTAATCCCTGGTTCAAAATTTTAAATTTCCTGCACCTGTTTCCACGAAAATTCATATCGCCATGGTTGTCACGACTACTTCGTCTGAACTATAACGTACATTGTGCTAAGGGAAAAGTCAGCTTGAACGATCCGAAGTACGGAAAGGTTTGCGTTTACGTTAGCGTTTTTTTAGCTAAGGATGTCTAATATTGCTCCAACCGCACGAGGTAAAAAAAGATACAAATGTAAAAAAGTGAAAATGTGTGTACAGCCAGCAGCCACACTGCAAGTTGTATTGCATTTTTCCAGCATTTTTCCGACCCAACCGCCAGAGAACGTTGTATCAGGTGAGTATTGAGGTGCATGAAATTCAAAAGATACTGTACATTTGGAAAAAAAGCTGCTTATACAGAGGTCCGCGACTTGCTGAAATGTATATGGATGCCAACGCACCCAGTTACTCCCATTCATCCTGGGAAGCTACTTCCAACCGCGCTGCTAACGCGAAGAAAAAGAAGTACCGTCAGGCCTCCGAGGACCTCCGTGGGTCGTTCACACCACTGGTTTGTTCCACGGATGGGGTGCTACATCGCGAATACGCCAGCTATCAGAAGCAACTTCCTGGTCGCCTCGCCCTCAAGTGGGACACGCCATTTTCAACCATCATGGCTTGGGTGCGAATTCGCAACCAATTTGCAGTGTTCCATGCAGTCGACCTCCGGCTACGCGGGTCCAGAAGGCGCCTGACAGGCCTGTCGACGCAGGATGGTGCTGGAGTAGGCATCGGCCATTGAGAACTGAATTTCGTCCGTTTTACGTGGAATTTTTGGAGTTTTCCAATGTACTGTACTTGAATAAAATTCTATTTTACCTTTCATGGTATCTCTATTTTTTCACGTCTACATGACTTTATCTTGCCCGTAAAAGAGGCCGTTACATATATGTTTGCGCCGGTATTCTCACTCACAACACAGAGTCTGAGGTTTATAGAATATTATCACTAGGAGAAGACTGTATCCATTGCAAACTGATTGCAATACTTCAAAAGGCTAGCTACTACCTGGTAGTAACAGAAACAGCCAAAGACAAAGAACACAACAACTGCACCAGCAAGCTCTTTCCTTGCACTAACCCCAAATACATCAAAATCAAGCAGCAAAATGCAAATCCGCACGCGTGTTTGCCGGAACTGAACTTCCGTAGCGCAGCTGATCATTGCGGCTGCACGGGACGACCTTCCCGCCACAGTAGGGCAAAGAACTATGCATGGAACTAGCAATGAATGCAAGCAGCACACCAACAAGCTGTCCCTACGCAGACGTCTAGTCTAGCGTGAGCAAGGATTAATAATTGAATAGCATGAGAAACATGATATGACACATTGACTCCTATGATGCATGCAATGTATACAACAAGAAGCAACAGGTCATGCAACTGTGCACAACACTTCAAACCAGCGGGTGTAATATGAAGGGCAATGCAGCAGTTATGAATAGGGACATCAACAGGACACAACACACAGTAGTCATGAGCAGGCTGAGGTAACTGAGGGCCGGGGAACAGTACAGACATGTGCACAACAGCACCTAGGTTTACTACTACCCAAGGTTATGTACTCCTTCTACTACTTTAGTTATTCATGTCTTGGTCTAACTGAGAAAGTTACTAGTGGAGATCTGCGGGGTGACTTGGTCGTACCAACAATATATATAATGAGCGACGGGCTACCTTAATGTCTGTGGTGCCTCCTTTGCATCATGGCTGGTAGCTCGGCCTATTTAGCTCGTAGCTGTACTGATGAGGCCTTTATGGCCGAAACAGCTTGCTGTCTACAGCATTGGGTATAATATATATTTATACCTCACTCCATATACACCCACACTCATATACCAGATCTCCCATGAAGTTTATAAATTTCCATATACATTGTTCAATATACACCACTAAGGAGGTATATACACCACTGAGGAAAACCATCAGAAAAAAATCACTGAGGAGCTTTCTTTCTCTAAAAAGGAGTGTATATAGCTTTCTCTCTAAAGCTATATTCACTCCTTTTTAGGGAAAGAAAGCTATATTCACTCCTTTTTGCTCTTGAGCTTGCCCACGGAGAGGTATAAATATATTATAACAAGGGACCTCGTGTATATCGAGAAATATCGACCAGTTATAAAAACCTCGGCTTCGCCTCGGTTTTTATACTGGTCAATATTTCTCGATATACACTCGGTCCCTTGTTATAATATATGCAGATTGAGTACATATATATATATATGTATTATACCGTGAAACTCAGAGTTACAGAAGAAACGCTTTTCGTCCCTCTCAAGTGTGTGTATATGTATTATATATGGATCATTTTAGATTTATTGTATGTGTCCTTGACGACTTATACCCACAAACGGCATTTATAGTACGTGCGTATATTTTTTTACCTAGTGCGGCTGCAGCCTTAGAGAGGTTCCGTATCACGTAATTACGTTAGTAAAAACCGTAGTCGATCTACGGACAGTCTTACGGACACTGCATGCGGACAGATAGATTGCACACCAGGACAAGGCTGTGCCTCCCATGTCACATCAGAAAAGATCATCCAGGAGGGTGTCATGACGGATTAGATCGAAGGCTTTGGGACGTAGGGCATTGTGGTATGGGCCGGCAGCTGCTACCTGATGCTTGCTTGGCCAGACTATGGTTTACAACTTGACAACTGAACACTGTGATCGCCTGCTCTGCTGTAAAAACAAGATCCTTGGTCAGCGTTATCTATGTTTACAAATTGCGGCGTTTTCAAAGCTTGCAAAGGTTGTACCAAGAGTCCATAACCCAAAGAGTGTGCAACTCTGTACATGGGGATCTGCGCGGCGGAATTCCAACATTTGAGAGGTTCCGCACTACGTAAAGTTGAGCAACTTTACGTTAGTGGGCGGGAAAAGCCCGTGAATTCGCGAGTTTGCACTCCACTTACGGAAAGTTGTCTACGGAGAGTACGTAGATAGGGCTCTGATAACGTAGCTGGTCCGTAAGTGGATTGGGGTACAAATTTATGACTCTCTCCCCAGGTCGATCTGGTCGTACACTGCCGCGTTCGGAGTTGCCAAGGGCAGCTACGTGATTTGAAAACTCCGTATGGCGGAACCCAGATGCGCATGCAGTTTCCGTAAGACTTTCCGTAGATCGACTACGTTTTTTACTAACGTAATTATGTTATGCGGAACCTCTCTATTACGTCAAAAATGACGTACACGTTCGTTGCGCTTGTACTGCTCCCTGGTTCCAAGCACCGCGGAATGCAGAGTTTTGTACAGCTTTGCCTCAGCGGCATGACGTTATGTTGGAATTCCGCCGCGCAATGGGCCTACAGCAGCCAGACCCCAGTTGCACACTCTTGGGGTTATGGACTCTTGGTTGTACCCTTTATGAGCATTAGTTGATCTAAAGCGTTTGATTACTGTATTGCTGATCCGTCCATATCAAGCTACAGTACGTGTGTATTTGTTCTGACGGTATTCACCTGGCTGTGTCTGTGTGCTGTTTTCTCTACCCGTACTACCGCTGCAAAGGAACACAATTGGTTGACCCTCTCCAAGCTCTGATCGTGCTATTGTGTGTCAAGCCATCCAAGGGCACCAATGCCAGTGCGCTGGTGTGTCACTGCGCGGCCTTCCCTCTCGTCGTAGCCTGGCTGAGAAGGATTGTTCGAATTTGGACCAAGTGATGTACTGGAACTTCAGATGAAAACGGCAATGTTAGAAATCTTGTTTTCCAGGCTGGTGCGTTTGTTGCACTATTCATCCTCATCCTCTTGGTGATCTATTCGCGCACAGACACTACGCCCGGCTCCTGGTTATGCGACTGGATCAGTTGGCGGATATTCTATTTTGATGAAACGGCTGTCCCAAGCATACTCCCTTTTCTAAGTTTTTTTGTTTGTTTTTCGGTGGGAGTGTTCGCCCATACCAGTCATGCCGGCTGTGAACCGACAGGATTCCAACATTATGCCCTCTCTTTGAAATGATTTAATTTCTAGACATTTAAAAAAAAGAATTTGTGTTCTGCAACACGCTTCAAAATGCTAGGACTCTATATCTAACTAACCGCTAGTTGCCCAACTCTTTTTTTATGAGGCTGTGCAGTACAGTGCTATACATGTACTACAAATGTGTTCAGTCTAGCTCTCTAGGTCTATCTCTTTTTCATTATTGAACTGGTAATTTGCACGCCTCGCTATTTAATTTTTTGTTTGTCTCCCGCTACCAGTTAGATTTGTGAATGATTGAGCACCAGAGAGAGAGAGAGAGAGAGTCCCGGGCTCACAACACATCCGAATACTTTCCTTTACTTCTTGTGTCAACTGTACGGTTGTGTCCTCGTTTGCGCAATGTATACCCAGACCGGAAAGGTCGCAACATGCCACCACCACGCCGTGACACATGTAATGAATCTAGTGATGTAGAGGCAGTACAGACTACAGTGTATTCGTACTTCAATTGGGGGGGGGGGGGGGGGGGGGCGGGCACATCATCCGAGCCTAGGACTAAGGTGCCCATATCAAGTACTGCAAGAGTAAATAAGCTCCCGATATTGAGCTTCTTTACTCTTGGTACTTGTTATGAAGATCTGGGACAGCCTTGTTGTACAACAAGGCCACCCCAGCTACTCCAGAAGTCTCTTCAACCGTTGGCATTGGGCCGCCAGACCAGGGAGTCCCACGCTGCAATGATGAGGGTACATTTACCAAAAAGGTGTAGACCTCTCCGTGCCTTTGAACTAAAGTACAGTAATAAACAGGCTGTGTAAACAAACAGGACCTTCCCGGTACAGAGTAGTGTAGTAACTTACTTTTTAAGTAAGCCATAGCCATAGGAATAGCCATAGGCGGTCCATGATGTGCACCGCGTCACGTCATTTTTCGTGTTGGCGTTCACGTGCGCAGAACTAGAGTACGAGAACGCAAAAAAAAGTACGAAGATTCTTGAAAATTCAAAATCAGTTTCCTACATGCTATGAATCAGTATGATTCTATCAAGAGTGTTTATGGACTCTTGATTCTATGAAGCTCCATTGACATTGTGAATGAAATAGATACCTTTGAAGCATCAATCATGAGCTGGGCAAGAAAAGCAATACGGGGTGTTCTATTGGATCTTTCAGGCGTTCTCTTCGACGGTGATGTTGTAATCGAAGGATCCATCGATGCTGTTGCAAGGTAGAACGCTTAGTTTATGTTCATGTGATTTTTTGAAATACATAATTTTACTGCATTCGCATCAATTTTGGAAGGTCGAACAGGCTTTAATAGCTGCATGCTGGAACGTCAGGATGCAGTTGTATCATTGTACGCCTAATTCCACTTCCCTTTAGACCAAGAAGATAAAGTATAATTTTATGAAGTGATTGTTGAAAAAACCCTGCCGTTACCCAACATCAACACCACCATGCCCGCTTAATTATTATAATAATAGTGGCAAAAGTTCTCCCCCCCCCCCCCTCTGAACCAGAGGTATGGGGTCTGGTGCAGTGTGTTCACTGTCTTACATAACCACGAACTAACGAATCAGCTCTGCCATTTACTGCGGCGTCAGATGACCTACAGTCGACGGCAAAATAAGTCCGGACAAATCACTGAGGTTAGCTGGCCTGGCTGGGCCCCCATTCTCTTTTGACCACGTTTTGCATTGAACACGACCCCAATCCCAAGTGATTTGTCGCATGTTTAGGCATTGACTGTACTACTGGTTTATAGCTTCCAAGTCCATTTTTCTAGTAGACTTCGAAAGGTTTGGTATCAGATGCTGCGTACAAGCTTTGGCTAGGCTGTAGTAGCACTCGTTTATATCCAGACAATTTTGGCTACGCCTGCATCCTTGTAGACGTCCAGTACAAATAAATTCGCTTCACCAGGTCCATGCAATGAAAGCAGTGCGTCGCCATGGTAACATAGAGCACCTGCTGCACATCACCATGGTCACAGAGAGCACCCGCAGTGCGTCGCCATGGTCGCGTAGCGCACCTGCAGCTCAGAGTTGCTTTGTCTCGGCGGATTGTGAACTCTTGCTATTGCAAGTATTGGTGTAGGTCGAAGAATAGCTGCAGTGACAGTGATGATTGTCCTGTTAGTGGGTGATGACTACATTATGGAACATCAACTGAATTGTCTTGTTCTCCTACATGTAACAACAGCAGGAGACAGTTGTGTGTGTGTGTGCACGCGCGTGTGTGTGTGTGTGTGTCTGTCTGTCTGTCTGTCTGTTAGGTTATCTGCGGCTGGTGTACCGGTGCGCTTCTGTTCCAACGAGACCAGCATCCCGCATCAGGCGGTAGTTGACAAGCTGAACAAGCTAGGCTTCAGCGTCCGAGCGGAGCAGGTCTTCACGCCGGGGCCCTGCGTCAGGAAGGTGCTGATCGAGCGTGGCCTGCGCCCTTTCCTTTTAGTCACCAAGGAGGCTGAAGCTGAGTACTCCAGTGTGCAGCAGACCGAGCCACTCAACTGTGTGGTGTTGTCCGACGCACAGGACGCCTTTCACTACCAGAACCTGAACAAAGCGCTCAAAGTCCTGATCGAGTGTGACAAGCCCACACTGATTGCACTCGGAAGGGGGTGAGTAAGGTGCCATAAACTGCAGGAACGGTCACATTCTGAGAACGATTTTGTTTGAATGTCTAAGCCGGAATTGATCCAGAGCTTAGTTAGGACCCGGTCTCCGGAATAAAACCCATGTAGAAACAGCCAAACTATACTTCATGACTTCATGTACATATCTGAAGATAGCCTAGGGTGAACAAGTTTCTAACATGGAATTGGTTTGGTTTTGCCGTGTCCTTGGAATGGTTGCGTTCTCCCAGTCTTACAGCTACACTCTAGCCCCAGTGGGATGTGACTCTCTCTCTCTCTCTCTCTCTCTCTCTCTCTCTCTCTATCTATCTATCTATCTCTCTATCTCTCTCTCTCTCTCTCTCTCTCTCTCTCTCTCTCTCTCTCTCTCTCTCTCTTTTCAAGTACGTTCTGTGAATCATCGGCTTTGAGCTTGCCATCGAAATAACGTTTCAGATACATTTACCAAAAACAGACACTTAGGACATGCGGACTTTGTCGGAATACTTCCAATTTATTCCATGTATTGGTGGGCAGAAGTGGAGTGGCAGGGTTAGTACTCTCCAGCTTGTATAATACAACTCGTAAGTGTACGACCTGTGGCATGTAATATGGTTTATGCTTTCTTAATCTTAATGTGTAGTGCCTTGGCGTACTGTCTCCTTCCCCAATGCAGAAAATACTACCGGGAGAAGGGAGAACTGAACTTGGATGTTGGCGCGTTCGCGAAAGTTTTAGAAGTAAGCATGTCCTATCTCTCTATTCTGTATCATGAAAATGGTGTGTCTATCGTGGATTGTCAGCTGCCTCCTTAGCGCAGTAGGCAGCGCGTCAGTCTCATAATCTGAAGGTCGTGAGTTCGATCCTCACAGGGGGCACTTCTTTTTTTCTCAATGCTCAATGCTTGTCGAATGATTCTCTTTGTCTCAACATGCTCCCTTTTTTTACTTTTCAATTTGAATGTCTCATGGTTTGTTCTTTTTTCAGTATGCATCTGGTGTGAAGGCTGAGGTGATCGGCAAGCCAGAACCAACATACTTCAATGCTGCATTGGATGACATGAAGGTTGCTGCAGAAGACGTAAGTTGCTTTTCAGTACTACATGCCGGATAACTGACCGCCGGTTTGGCGACATTCAACTGTAGGTTGTACCCAACGGTGCTTTTAATGTGTTTGGGGGGGGGGGGGGTACGCTGGGTCGTGGGCTCAAGCCATTGCCAGGCGCCAATGTTGCAAGACAAGGTTCCACGAGCGGGATTCGAACCCAGCACCCCTGTCTTTCCGGGACAGTGTCCTACCAATCAGGCTACTGGTGATCACACATCTGTGGCCCCTTCTTGTTACATATACTCATATCACTGTACTGATAAGTTTCTATGGGACTGCTGTGCTCTGCTGTTGCAGGCTTTGATGATCGGCGACGATCTAGAGAACGACGTGGGTGGTGCACAGGCCGTGGGTATTCGTGGAGTGCAGGTTCGCACTGGCAAATTTATGTAAGTATATGCATGTGAATTTACGCACGGGGGGGGGGGGGGGGAGGAGAGAGAGAGAGAGAGAGAGAGAGAGAGAGAGAGAGAGAGAGAGAGAGAGAGAGAGAGAGAGAGAGAGAGAGAGAGAGAGAGAGGGAGAGGGAGAGAGAGAGATCTGACTGGTCCACCTTGCAGTACACTTTAAAAATAGACCTTTGGTGACGTTCATATTTCGCACTTTTTTGAATCTGCACTGGATGTACTGGATGCCAGTTTTTTATTCCAAACACCGACTAGTTAATCAAGGCCCTAGGTTTCTCTCTGACCTCCCCGATTCTTTGTTGGATGAATGTCCGTCACCCAGTAAGTGCCTTATCCGTTGAATACGCTCACGGTAGTATGTGGCAAGATCAGATCCCAGAGTGTGTGTTACATTCGCCATTATTACCAGCGATATTTTTTGTTGAAATGTGTCGCTTAGCCCGATGTCTTACAATTGTACATTGTTCCTTTTCCGGCACTTCCCTTCTTTACTGTTCTTGCTGCTGCTGCTGCTGCTGTCGGTGGCTGTGTTTGTTGCATAGGCCAAGGGACGAGCAGAACCCCAACGTCACGGCCGATGGACGTGTAGCCAATCTAGCAGAGGCAGTTGACGTCATCCTTGCCCAGTGGACAAGCTGAGTGAGCACCCTTCCAGCCAAATGTTACCATTGTGTGATGCCAGGTTATCCAGCTTACCCAGCTTACCCAGCTTGCTTTCCAGAGTCTTGAATATTTTTGCTCCATCTGGCAGATCTGCACAGTGCTAGCCAAGCCTGAAATTCTACGGAGCAGTGGCGATGATGTCTGGTGATGGTAGGGAAGCTCCCGCACTGCAAGAACCTTGATTGCTTGAAAACTGTACACGATTGTGAGAGTACTTGATAAAGAGCAAGTGCTTGCTGCATCACGACATGCCCTCTATCGCATTGAATACGGTTCCCTGCAGTGGAAAGTGATCGCGCTCATGTCTGCACGTTAAGACCAAAGCTGGCTTTTGTGCTGCAGTGCATTCTGTTTTTAAACAGAATGCAGGAGAGGTTAAAACTCTCCTGGCATGCCTGCACTCTATGTACTTTTCTTGTGTTCATTTGTGATTCTGCAAGCCACTGCAGCAGGTCAAGGATTGTATTGCGCAATCTTATGCAACTTAAATTATTGTTATATGTAGTAGAATAAAATTCTTATTTCTATCTTTTTTGTTCAGCAGCCATTGGCAGTACTGCCCGGCATTGCAATGTATAGCGGCCGTGGACGACTCCTCACTGACTGTGATACATCATTGTCGCAGTGTGGACTCTGCATGGTAATCCCGTACAATGTAGATTGATGTGTTGTTCCAGTGTTCTTTCCATCGCCGTGCCGTCACCATGACTGTGCCCATACTTGCCCAGCAATGCGCCCAGTCCTGCGCCTTTCCTACAGTATAGATGGGCACAGGGAAGCCGCACAGCCCCACTACCCATTTCTGTGATCCCCCTCCCCTCCCTTAACTTAAAACACCAACAGGCAATGCACGTGTGGGGCAGATAAAGAGGAATGCGGGGGGACCATAGGCGTAGAAGAATCCCGGGAAGCCAGTCAATTAGACGTAGAGTATATGTAGTGCATGTGTTCATGACAGTGATGTTGCCAACAATGGGGCCAGGCTTTGTACGTGCCTTCTGGCAGCCTACTAGTATTCAGAGCCAGCCTGGCAGCATGGTTACATGATGGGGGACATGGATCAGAAATAAAAGGTGTTTACAAAACAAACGTCCTAGAAAACTCCCCGGCTAACTCACTGGATACTAATAGTAGTACTGCGGCAGCTCTCCCTACAGCCAGTACAGGCTGCTGCTGCTGGATAGATTGGTGCTACCATACCAAGAGTCCATAACCCCAGGGGTCATGGACTCTTGGTGCTACACTTGACCTGCCCGACTTCTACTTCTAGTGGCCAGTCTTCTGGAAGGGGGCTTGCGAGCAAGACCCGGGTCTTCTGATCATCATGATCATTGCCTGGGGCAATCAAACTAGCGAGCACACGGTCTTAATTATTAGTGCATGCAGTTGTAAGTCTTCACCAACAATCTTGGCACAGTGTATTTGAACTGTTACTTGAGGCTTGAAACGTGCTAGTGTTTAGTGTGGAGTGGGATGGGGGTAGGGGAGGAAAACGAGCGTTAGCCATGCACTTCGGGTTTGGAATCTTTTGATTGTGATAACTCAATTAGTTGTTCATGTACATACAATGTAGTCATTGCACATGACTGTATGTCCGTAATCGAAACGTCCATTACTTACTTACTTACAATGTGTAGTGTGTCACTGCTACGTTACTACTAACACTGAAGAAAGCTATATATACTAGTGCAGCAGGGTGTTCACTACATGAGTTTGAAATCTTTTATTCTCACGATGGCCTGTGGCCAATAAGCGAAAGTTGTACATGACATTGTATTCCTTTTGTATTATCAGGAGTATATGCCCCCAGGAGGTTATGTACTCTTGGTATGATTACTAGGGTTAGGCCAAGTAAAATAAAATCCCAGTTTATCGTCCTTTTTTTCACAAAAATCGGGGAGGGAGGGCGGATTTTATTTTTATTTTTTATTTTTTGATGTGCTACAGACTAGTATAGTTCTTGGTAAACAATGACACATCATGTGCAACAATCTGCAACAGAATAGTGGTAGTGTATGGAATACACAATGCTATAACAGTTATATGTACATAAACAATTACATGCAAAATCTTTGGATCGACAGATTGTCACTCCACTCATAAGACACAAACCCCAATACTGTTTGGTTCACACAGACCACCAGATAAATGATAGAAAGCTGCAGAAGGGAAAGAACCAGTCAGGACAGTAACCAATAGTCAGTCATAAAGGGAACATGTTGACGAAGCTGTGTTTTCAAGCCTTAGCCGACGTAAAAAATCAAGCTTTTTGGCAAAATTCTAGATTTAAAAAATAAAAATAAATTCCGGGCGGCCTCGAAAAATGGGGCGGGCGGGGACGATAAACTAGGATTTTTTTTACTTGGCCTTATGTACTCTTGGTAACATCACTAATCAGTACCCTAGCACCCTAGCACCCTAGCTTCCCATGATCAGTGATGTTGTGACTGACATCAAGAGTTCATATGAACTCTTGCTGACATGTACAGTGTATAGCACGCTGATTGGTGATTTGTGGGGTTGAAATACACAGTACATTAGTAACAAGTAATATACACAGGCGCGTGCCCCGTATGGGTTCCTGGGTGCCCGGAACCCCCCTTTTTTCGCTCACAATGCAGGATTTTGGTTCATTTTTTGAAAATGTTCCGGGGGAGGCCCCCAGGAACCCCCCTTGAAAGGCACCGGCGCACGCGCCTGATACATGTACATTGTACGGAAGGGCAAAGTATTTGCCGATGATAATATTATTACTGATGCTTTCTCCTGGTCCTGGATGTGCCCAACTTTGGGGGGGGGGGGGGAGTTTGGCCATGATGGCAAGGTGTGGTGGTGGAATTCGGTATGGTAAAGCAGGCATGATAATGGTGGCTTCATACCAGATGCTCAGGATGCCATGTGTCGGTGAAGCAGTGTCAGCAGGAAACGGCCATTAGAATCCCCGTGTGATGTGCTGCGTGTACATTGTACATTGTACAGGCATACATGTACATCTGTCATCACAGATTCTGTTCACTCTCAATCTGGCTAACGAATGGCATGGGAAAGAGATGTACACAGTTACAGGAACTACACTACAACGGTAGTGTTCTCCAGATTACAAATAGACCAATCCCGAAAAGATTGTCTGGGTTCGTGAAAGGGGGCACGCGTGCAAGCCAGCACGTGTGAAGTGCATCGTTTTGTATTCAGTTTGTGTGTGTCAGCTCATGGCGGAGGAGAGAGAGACTTTTGCTCGCCGAGCTGAAGCGAAAGGATTTGATGGAGTCCTGCCAGCAGCTAGTCAAAGGACCTTCGGTACCTTAGGCAGACCCTGACGGAGTTTGGAGGCCAGATAGCTCTCGGTGACCGGTGAGGAGAGAAACATTCGCGTGGCGATCGACTCTCCGTAAAAAATGCAAGCTACATAGCGCCGACATACTGCAACAGCTACGATTTCAGCTAACTTCTCGATCTGCTGCTTCACAAAGTTCAACTATTTACAAGTCCTGACTGTTGTAGTCTGAAGCAGGAGTCTCATCGCCCACCTACAGGTAGCTTTTGGAGCTGATGGATTTCCCGACTTGGACTCCTTCCGCAAACTCTCGCAACATTACTACAGTGTATGCTGTGTTTCCGCACGCTCGTGTCGACATGTCACCTGTGCATGTACCGGGTCGCGGAGGAGCTTGACGACCTCCGCTGACTCCAGGTTTCCGAAATACTGCCGTCGTCTTCGTTGATGTCGCTGGTGACATTCTCCCCTTGCAGGACGTGCACATAGTTGTCGTCCCGGGGGTAAAGACTATGTTGTCTTTCGAAATAGTTCTTCATCACGCTCGCGCGAATGATGTTTCTCATCATGAACTCGTTCCGACGGTGTGACACGGCGATGGTCTTTGGCGGGGCACTGGCTTGGCGAAAACTATATCTTCTTGTGCAATATAACATTGATCGGCTGCAGATGAGTACAGTCACTTCGTGGTTGGTCCTATAGGAGGGCAGCTGCCAGGAAAGAGGCAGGACTCATCGAAGACGAAGCGCTCGCAACGAACAACAGCACTCGAAATATCTCGTGTAAGATTTAGGGCCTATCGCTTTGAGCCACAGCGCTCACAGCCTTGCCTACTTCATCAAAGTGAGCTCTACTTGTTCGTTGACCTCTTCACACTACACAGAAGAGCGAAACAAGGATTATGTCTTAGCATTTCAACTCCAACAGCAGACCATTACCAGTGCGAGAGGGAAAACTACAAAGGGCTTCGCTTTCTGTCGCATCGTCTCTCTTGCATGCAACTAACGAGAAAATCGTGTACTTACCCTCGCATTCACACGCGAACTATCAAACACGTCCTGTGCCGCATGCTGATCAGGTAGTGCCATGTATGTGTTGTACAGTGTACTCTCAGTTGACATGCCCCCTTTCGAACCCAGACAATCTTTTCGGGATTGGTCTATTCTGCAAGTATACTTCAGGAGACATACAATGTAAGGAGGTCCGGAGGAGTATGGCATCATACCACAAGCGCTCTTCTTCACACTGATTGCTCTCCTGCTATTTGTATCGTGCGCTAATGGAGCGAGCCGCCCATTTTCCTCAGCAGTTTTGTTTATTTTTGCTCTCAGGATCCAGCGCATTCTTCATCATTTGTGAGAATTAGACCTGGTTTAGTGAGAAGGCATTCTACTGCCTGTAATTCTGGTGAAGTAAAATAAAGTAACAACATGCGCCAAGAGTGAATAGCAACTAAAGAGAGCGGTTGTCAGTTGACAAACGACCTTTTTATTTACAATGCAGTTGCGTGATGTCCACCGCTTTCTGAACTATCAAAAGTCAACTGAGTGTATGAGCACAATGGCAGTACCTGCACATGCAATGATGCAGTTCATCGTTGGTACATGGTATTGTGCTTCGGAAGTGTCGAACATAGTTTTCAACATAATAGGGCTTGAAAGTGCTACGTCACAGCATAGCAACAATTTCAAAAATTCAAAAACTGGATCCACTTGGATCCAGTTTTTGTATGGATCCAAGCACATTTCAAGCGGTCTTACCCACAGCATGGTGATGTAGCCAGTGAAACTGACTGATTTGGCTACTGGGGGCGGGGTTACAACTGGTGGCGAAATAAAAGTCACACCTGCATGCGACATGAGTGGGTTGCTATGCACCCACATACTTAGGCAATAGTAAAGTCACACCTTAGTGGATCCAAAAATAGAAATCTGATGTCAACTTACTACTCCCTGGCCGTTTTGACGTCATCACTTTCAAGCCCTATAACAGGTACTAAGTACTAGTGCACGTACATAACATCTACTAACACTCAAGTTTAGGTAACCCTGATTTAAAGGCTTTAGGGATTTCAAGGTTATTATGCCTGGGCCTTTATAAAATAGATGATCAATGTGTCCCTTATGCCGGTGCAATGTATTACAGTGCATACTAACTACAATGTAAGTGCAATGTAGGTTTACAATTGCAAAGCCGCTTGGTTTCTCTCGCTGTAGTTACCAGACAGCGAAAATTACAGGCAGTAAAGAGTTTAAATATACAGAAATATTCTCCGGAATATCTACATGTACGAGACTCTCATGTCATGATCATGTTGTCTGGATG